TTTAGAAATTATAATTTTTGGTTATAAACTAATTTGGCTTTTTTTTTTTTACTAAAAATATAACGAAATACATTTTGGCCAAGATTTATGATGAAAGATTTATTTGCAAAATTTTATAAAAAAAACACTTTTTTTCAAAATTTTTGGACTTTTCATTTACATAGCAAAAAAAATAAAAATCCCAGTGGTGAATAAATACCACCAAAATAAAGCTTTATCTGTCTCAAAACAATGGTAGAAAAATTCATATAGGTACAGTGTTGCATGACCGCACAATTGTCATTCAAAGTGTGATAGCGCTGAGCTGAAAATTGCCCTGGACAGGAAGGGTAAAAGTGTCCGGACAGGAAGTGGTTAACTGAATGGTAGACTGTCGGGTAATTAGCATTGGAGAATTTAGGGATATGATCAGCACGAAAGTGAGCTTCTTGGATGAAGAGCACGTCTGCTCGCAAGCTTTTCATGTAAGTCAGGAATTGTGAGCGTTTCTCAGGTATATTTAGACCTCTTGCATTAAGAGATGCCACAGAAACTGTATGGTGGGCTCGTACGGATGTGGGTTTAGTAGACATTGTCTTGGATGGCAGAAAAAGTACTACTCAAGGTCTATAATGTGCAGCAGATGGGTGTGAGAAAAGTGGGGGGGGGTGAATGAGAGGAGAAGGGAGGGGGGGGAGGAAAAAAAAAAGAAAAAAAAAAAAAAAACACCAAACAGCCCCCCCCCCCCCCAGAGTGCAGAGAAAATGAAAAGTAGAAATAGGAGTTAACAAAATAAAGAGGAAGAGTCAAGAAATCAAAAAATAGCAGAGGTGAAAAGTGTTAGGCGTCCACAATAAAAACCATACAAATGTGGTGTTATGTGGTCCTAAAACTTCTCTTACGAAACAAAATCCGGGACAGTGTAGTCCGGCTATGCCGTCCTGTATTGAGAATCGTATGTGTTGGTGAGGTACTTAATGTATTGTGGGTGGATGTGGAATTCAAATCGGAGATGTTTAGTCGGACCCAGTGTCGTCCGCTGTGGGGGGTCGCGGGAGAGTCCCAGGAAGACCGTCTAGGACCTACTAGGTATATTAAGTCCGAAAAGTGTGTATAAGATAGCGTCCAATGGAAGGTAGCAGTGACACACGGAGATAGGTAGATGTCAGCAAATTTTTGTAGGGAGAGGTATTCATTTTGTAATAAGGGGGAACGGGTAGGAGATGTTATATGTAGAGGTGTGTTGGGTATAATAGTGTGAGTAATCGTGTGTAAATCTAGGGATGCTCACTAATAAGTATGAAGGTATGGTATTCTGTAGGACGTTTTCCTATGTGTCTAGTTGTATGTAAAACTGTCTTGGGAGGGCATCGAGGTGGGGCTGTGTAGCAGGATGTGGCATAGTCATACATTTACATTACTATAGTATCACAAGATAAACAGTATACACTAGTAGTAAGTTTCGTTCTGTAGTTGCCCATGAGCCATAAAGTGCGATCACAAAAGACAATGCGAAAAGGTCTCCTTATACTGTGTCAGTTCAGACTTAAGATATCAATCTTATATGAAACCTTGCAAGGAAAACATCAATTACATAATGCAGTAAGATTCAGGGATGCAGGCCGAGGGCAAACAATCTAGTTAAACTGCATCCCTGAATCCTTGACAGAAGAGAAATATTGGCCCCAACTGAGGTGTTCCACGCAGTGCAGCAGGCCGTTACCATGGGTGCAAGCCAACCTCAGAATTAGCGAGGTTGTGATAAACCGCTTGAGTGGCATCGTGATTCTGTGGCCTGTTGAGAGTATGGTCCATAATAATCTATGTACACGTATCAGAAACTTGCATAACCATAGAGTGAACCAGTTGTATGCATAACAGTTAGAGAAATCCTATGCCTTAGAATATCTTAACACCTTGGCCAAGGGCAGTTAGGAGGTTTGCATGTTTGAAGATGGCTTGGAACATGGGTTTCGAAGGTAATCACACTATATACTGGGAAGAATGTGAAGGCAGCCAAAATATGGGGGGGAGGGAGACGATGTACGGAGGATGGTGGGGGGGAAGGAAAAGTGTATGAGTGCATTGCATATAGTATCTCAGTGTTCGTGTGTAAATCTGGGGATGATCACGAACGTGTAGAAAGTATGGTATTCGGAAGGAGGTTCCTATGAGATCATATGTAGTTAAGAAGCTCATGAAGAGACACTATGGGCAGGATGTGTATCAAGGTATGGCATGGTCACACAATAACAGCACCACAGAACCACAATATAAACATTGAATAAGAGTGAGAACGCTTAGTTCTGGAATTGCTCATGGACCATAAAATGTGTTACTAAAGGGCAATGTGAGAAGGCCTTAATAAACCGTAGTAGTTCAGACTCAAAATCTCAATCGCATATAAAATTCCCTGTATAGAGACATCAATTGCAAAATGCATTGAGATTCAGGGATGTAATCCCATGTCGAGGCAACTGAGCAGTCTGCATCTCTGGATCCTGAAAAAAAGAGAAACTCGGTCTCAACCGAGGCTACCAGTACAATGCAGTAGGCCATTACTGTCCAGACAAAAAAACTCCAGAACCAGTAAGATTATGAACCATGGTTCTATTAGCACCGTTACCATGCAGTCTGCAGAGAGCAAGAACTACTATAATCTGAGTATATACATTCGAAATCGGCATAAACATAGAATGAACAGATAGTATACATGAGAGTTAGAACAATCTAATGTGATACACATACCCTAGCATTTTAGCCAAGGGGATAGAAGGTTTTCAATTGACGGTAAAAAGGAACCAGGGTTTAGGAGAGAATCACACGATATATTAGGTCGGGTGTGGAAGTAACCATAGGATGGGGAAAGGGTGATGCACGGGTGGGTGGGGGAGGGGGAAAGGAGAAGTGTCATTCGTGACGTGCCTTGCGATGAGCTGGTGAAGCTGGTAAACTGTCCCCAATGATGAGCTTTCGTCGTACAGGAGAGGACAAGGTGTGTTGGGATGGTCTGCGTCGCCTTGCTCCTCCAGGGTGTCCAGCAGATTGGGCCTCCATTGGGTCTTCATCCGTCTGGGATGGGAGGTGGGATTCACCGGACCAGTTGGGCAGGTCCACTATTAGGATATCTAGGACCTCGCAGAATGGTGCAATAGCTTCCGGGAATCTCAGGATAGCTGTTCGCCCCATGTGCGTTGCCGAAAGGCCAGACGGGAATCTCCAGCGATATGCTATACCCCTGGAACGTAGTAGATCCAGTAGAGGGCGTAAATCCTTCCTGCGTTGTAGGGTGAGATGGGAGAGATCTTGAAATAATTTGATTTCTGTTCTGTTATATATCACGCAGTTTCGATCTCGCGCTCTGCGTAATATTTCTTCCTTGAGTCGTTAGTCGACTAAGCAGCAAATTATATCTCTCGGGGGATCAGTGTCCCTACCTCTAGGACGTAGAGCCCTATGGAGGCGTTCAATCTCAATAGGAGACCCCTGTGTTCTTTCCAAAAGATCATTAAAAATGGTTAAGAGCGTTTGGGTGAGTTGGTCCAATTCAATTGCTTCAGGGACACCACGTACCCTTAGATTATGTCGTCTTCCCCTGTTGTCCAGGTCCTCGATATGACGATCAAGCTCTCTTAGGTGCATAGTGTGAGTATCTACCAGTTTGTGTATATCATGGATTGCAAGGTCTTGCATGATAACTTTATCCTCCACTGCTTCTAGCCTTTGGGCCACTGCCCGCATATCGATATGTAACTCTGCAATTGCTGCAGAGAGGGTCTCTTTAATATCTGATGCTACTGCTTTCAAATCCCCTATAGTGAGAGGGGAGACTGCAGAATGGTAGGCTGTGGGTGCTGCGGCTGGACTCCTGCTCCGCGAGCGGGACGCTCTGTGAAGCAAGTGGGAGGAGGCAGCATGGGAGGAGGCCTCAATGTGCTCTGGGGTCTGGGTCCGGAATAAATCCGGAATGCTGGGTGGGTCTCCTATCCGCTTTCCCCATGTCAGCGGTATCTCTCCCTGCTGTGGTCACGCGTTCCTACCTCCATGTGTCGGAGCTCTGGGAACTAAGCTGTCATCTTCTCCGGGCTAAAGCCACGCCTCGTCCTGGGTGTTTTGATAATGCTGCCAACATTAGCTGTTTAAAGTCACGTTAAAAACTTGAGTTTTTCAGCTTTTTTAGCGTTTTTGCATTAGTGTTTAGCGGCGTTTTGCCACGTTTAGCGGCATTTTCCAGTGGTTTTTTTTACCAAAAAAAGACCAAAAACATCGGTTTGTGGCATTTTACCACATTTTGCCACGTTTTTCAGCATTAGAGCATTTTTACAGCTAAAAAAACCCAGTCCTGGGGTTTTTTTTCCAGCCAAAAAACGTCCCTGCCAAAAAAACTTTGATTACAGTCTATCTGTGCATGGACACATAGGATAACATGCTGGGGGATTTTACTAGCTGTAGAAAAAAAAAAACGTCACAAGCCAAAAACAACAGTTGTAAAAATGTCCATTGTGCATGAAGACTAATGCTTAGTAAGTTCAGCATTCATTTGTCACATTTATTAAAGACAAGGTCAGCCAGAGTGGGGCTATACAAGCTCTGGTCCCAATCTGCCAAATGTAAAACCTCTATAAGTACACAAAGGCACTTGGAGGTGCCTTATTTATATTCCAGCAGCCATTTCACCATATGTCAGTCAACAGTAAATGAATTTAACCACTAGCCTACAGGGCACATATACCCCCTTCCTTCCCAGGCCAATTTCCAGCTTAAAGCGCTGTCACACTTTGAATGACAATTGCGCGGTAAAGCAACACTGTACCCATATGAAATTTTTATCATTTTTTTGTGACAGATAGAGCTTTATTTTGGTGGTATTTAATCACCTCTGGGTTTTTTATTTTTTTCTTAAACAAACCAAAAACCACTGAAAATTTTGGGAACAAAAACGTTTTTTCTTAGTTTTTGTTATAAAATTTTGTAAATAAGTGATTTTTCTCTGATGTGCGCTAATAAGGCTGTAGTGATGGGCACTGATGGACACTGATAGGTGGCACTGATGGGCACTGATGAGGAGGCACTGGTAGGTGGCACTGATGGGCATTGACAGGCATCACTGATGGGCACTGAAAGGCAGCACTCATATATGGCACTGATAGGTGGCACTGACTGGCACTGTTAGGTGGCACTGACTGGCAATGATAGGCGGCACTGATGCACACTGATAGGTGGCACTGATGCCCACTGATAGGCAGCACTGACTGGCACTGATAGGTGGCACTGATTGGTACTGATGGGTGAAACTGAAAGGCAGCTCAGAAGGGGACTGATATGTGGCACTGATGGGCATTGAAATGTGGCACTGATGGGCACTGGCAGGTGGCATGGATGAGCACTGACAGCTGGCACTGATGGACACTGACAGGTGGCACTGCTGGGGCTACACAGATCATCAGAGCACACTGATCATCAGTGCCCTGATGATCTGTGTACATGTCCCCTCCGAGGAATGCTGATTACCGGCTCTCCTCTCCTCATGAGCTGTCAGCGTGACAGCTCGTGAGGAGAGAAATGCCGATAACCGGCATTTCCCTGTTTACATGTGATCAGCTGTGATTGGACACAGGTGATCACATGACCGAGCCAACATCTTCGGCTCTTTCCGTTGATCAGTGATCCGCTGTGTCCGAGGGACACAGCGCACTGCCGATCGCCGCGCTGCAAGCTCCCGGAGCCGATACGCAGTTAGAATGGGAGGACGTCATATGATGTCCTCCCAGAACGAGAGAACCGCCTTGCGCCCCGTCATTGTACTATATGGCAGGCGGGAGGAGGTTGAACATGCTTAGAACAAACACAGATCAGGACAAAAAGGTTAAAACAATGAACAAAAAACACAAATATTTGAACAGTGGTAGACTTGATGGACTGCTTGGTCTTTCTGTCATCACTATTTTATGTTTCTATATTAAAATAGGCCAAAGACATACTGTTACAGTGCATGTAAGAAAAAGAAAGCCGGAAAAAAAAGCTGTTACGAGTGTTTTAGGAAGCGTTTAGTAGCGTTCAATGTTTTTTTTTCTGCCTCAAAAATGCTCCCAAAAACTCAACAAAAAACATTTTTTTCCTGCTCCTAAAAGCTGAAGCTTGAAAAACGCTACTAGCCTAAAATAGTGTTCATGGACACATAGGATAAGACTATTTAGCTTCTAGGAGCTTAAAAAACCTCTAGTGTGCATGGGGCCTTAAAGTAGAACTAAAGGCATTTTTTTCATTTTGGATAGAGAAAGGAAGGGTTATAACTCCCAGCAGTTTTTCTGCTTTCTGCTTCCCATTGAGTTTATTTCTGGTCAATTCCTGTCCAGTAGCCAAAAGAGGAAGTAAGAGGAATTCCCTTCCCTCTATTTTTCATCTGCCAATTTTGTAATGAAGTGGAGCTATAATATGGTGATAAAAAATTAACACTTGAAATTCATTTGCACTGTTCTCTAGCAGCCTTTGTTTTATTAGCACCTTGGGAAAGAGTGAAAGATACAACTGTTTTTGCTGTCTTTTCAGCTTACAGCATGACGAGGACACTGCTTTTCTGGCAAGATCAACAGTATTTTTCTGTACTTGCAAAAAATTTTACTAACCTTAGGCCCCACCCGCACTTCAGATGACGGGAAACTCCCATTCGCAATTTTTTATGGGCGTTTTTCATAAGAATCTGCATGTTGCGCATAGGGCAGCCCTTTCATTTTAACCAGTTCCCGACCACGCTATGGCTACAGAACGATTGGCTAGTTCTGGGAGGGCATTCATGGACGTCCTGCCAGAACAGCGCCTCCCGCACAACCCCTGGGGCACACACTGCACGCGATCTGTGATTGCTGTGTCCTTTGGACACAGCTAATCACATGGCTACGGATTGGGCCAATCACAGCCACTTTTACCATGTGACCAGCTGTGTCCAATCACAGCTGATCACCAGGTAAATAGGAAATGCCGGTTATCGGCAGTCCTCTCCTCACAATGACAGCGTGTGAGGAGAGCTGGTAAGCGGTATTTTGCATTGGGGCATTTACACTGATCATCAGTGCCCTGATGATCAGTGTATTATTATTATTATACAGTATTTATAAAGTGCCAATAGTTTGCTCAGCACTGTACATTACAAAAGGGGGACAGAACATGTGACAGAACAATACCAATATAATGCAAAACATGAGGGGATTGAGGGCCCTGCTCTTTCAAGCTTACAATCTAGGAGGGAGGGGATGGTGGCACAGGAGGAGATAGCTGTGGGGGATGGAGTGGTAGGAAGAGTGGAGGAGGTCGGTCAAGTTAGCAGGAGGATGGGTAGGCTTCCCTGAAGAGATGGGTTTTCAGGGTGCGCCTAAAGGAGAGGAGAGTAGGTGATAATCTGATGGGTTGGGGCAGGGAGTTCCAGAGGATGGGTGACACCCTGGAGAAGTCCTGGAGGCGGGCATGGGAGGAGGAGGTGGTGTAGGTGTAGCCCCATCAGTGTGGCCAATAGTGCCCATCAGTGCTGGCAACCAGTGCTGACAATTAGTACCCATCAGTTAATCAGTGCTACCCATCAGTGCCGCCTAACGGTGCCCATCAGTGCTGACTAGCAGTGCCCATCAGTGACACCTATTAGTGCAGCCTCATCAGTGCTGACTAGCAGTGTCCATCAGTGAAGGAGAAAATTACTTATTTAAAAAACTTTATAACAGAAACTAAGAAAAACTTTTTTTTCTCAAAATTTTTGGTCTTTTTTTTTAGTTTGTTTAGCAAAAAATAAAAACCCAGTGGTGATCAAATACCACCAAAAGAAAGCTCTATTTGTCTCACAAAATTTATAAAAATTTTGTTTGGATAGTGATGCATGACCACGCAATTGTCATTCAAAGTATGAGAGCTGAAAGCTGAAAATTGGCATTGGCAGGAAGGGGGTAAAAGTGCCCGGTAGGCAAGTGGTTATTGGGATGCCCTATTCATGTTTGCTGCCCAAAAGAAGCTCTGGCTCCTTTTTGGGCGACAAGTTTCATGTGATGTTTAAAGGTGCAGTTTGCTGTGCAATTCTTAGAAAAATTGACATTCTCCCAGTCCTGTCTGTGTTGTGAACATGTGTGAGATGGCCTCAGCCTTACACCACTCCACAATCCATGCCCTCTGACATGTTTCCCACCACCCACTGGGACTTGGTCATAGACCTCTATGACCAAACTCCAGTGGGTGGGGCAAAACATGTCAGATGGCATGGACTGTGGAGTGGTGTAAGGCTGAGGCCATCTCACACATGTTAACAACACAGACAGGACTGGGAGATCAGTGATATTTTGAAGTATACAATACAATACTGGAAGGTGAGCACCAGCAAGACAATATACATCTTCCTTTTTGGCTTAGAGCGGCACCACAAATGTAAGCAGGTTGCTGCGCAATTCTGTCACAAGCGCAGCAAAACTGCATCGCGTTTGGGGTGCCATTTAGAATGAGTTGCACCCAAACGCACAATGCATCACAGGCAGAATTGCGATTGCCAAATATGAATGGGGCATAAAAATTTGTCTGCTCCCACACTGCAACAGTTAATTGCCTGTTTTATTCACCTCATCCTCCCCTCCCAACAGATGTCGCTTCCCCACGCTCTGGGCAGTTGACTGTCTCTTGACATTAACACATCCACTGCAGGGTTATGGATCCTGCTTTGGTCTTGAGGACATCAGGATCCCAGACTGCTGGCACCTGGCAGGGGGGGAGACTGTGCAGGGACCAGTCTAGCTACAGAGGAGTAGCAGAAGATTAAGTAAATATTCTTTTATTGTTCCCCTAGACCTTAAGCAGTTTTAGTTGTCTGGAGCTGTACACAGAACATGGAAGTGTAATTATTAGTAGTTAGTAAAGTAGTAAGAATAGGTCTTCTACATGTTATGACTCAGAAAGGAAATTGAATTTGTTATGGGATGACCACCTTCAATTTACCTTGTGTATAAAGTGACACAAAAATAATAAAATATGAAGAAAGATAAAATGTATTAATTGTTTGCTGTGGATTACAATGCAGCCAGCCTCATCCCACTGTTTCCAGTTAATCCTAGTTTTGCTGGGGAGAAAGAAGCATTATACCTGTATTGATCACCAGCTGCTAGTATTATCAGGCTTCCTGCTCATATTATGTGAGATCATAAAACTAGATGTCATCTCAAGCTGTGTTTGAATAGTAAGATTTATATTTGTACAGATGGTATTTTTCATGATTATTCTGTTTATTTCTTGCACAAGCTAATCCTTGCTTCTGGAGATATTTAATTTAAGTGTGGGGGAAACTCCTGCTTCAACAGTTTATCTATGAACAAGAGGATGTACAGTGTGGTGCCCGATGTAATGCAATGTTGAGCCTATGCTTGGGTTGTCAGACATTATAATACACTAAGGTGAGCAACAGAAAAGTACCAAACTGAAATGTTAGTGCCTACAGACACTGAAGTTCATGTTTAGTTTAAAATGGCACAACATAAATAAAGTGAAGTGAATGCTTCATTCCTGAGATCAGAAGGTATATTGAGCTAGATAGGTCAATACGCTGGAATGAAGCCTTCGTTTTAGTTTAGGAAACTTTAACATTGAACTCCAAACAATTAAACATATGGTTCAGATCCATACATGGAAGCTGATTTGCTTGCCAAAAAAGTCCTGAGACTTACATGGCCAGCTGGTGACTTGAATCTTCTCTGTTGCAGGTAAGTAACACAGCTAGGTCATCTTCCTGTCCCCTCGCCTGTGACTGAACTGTATTCCTTGTCAGCAAAAGCTGATTGGTTACCATGAACAGTTGCTCCAAATTTGGTCTGCTGTTGCTTTAATAAATCACTACAGTTTCTGAATTCTTTATTTTTTTAAATAAATACATAACTGCATTCACTGGTGTGTTAAGATCTGCCTGGATTCTAATTGAATCCCCAATTCCAGACAAAAACCTTCTTATGTAGTAAGGCAATCATATATACAGTTGTTCTCAAAAGTTTGAATACCCTGTCAGAAATGGTGACATTTTGGCATTGATATTGAAAATATGACTAATCATGCCAAAATGTCTTTTATTTAAGGATAGTGATCATATGAAGCCATGTAGTTCTTTTTTAAATCATAATGATAACAGAAATCACCCAAATGGCCCTGATCAAAAGTGTACATACCCTGGAATATTTGGCTTTTGTACAGACACACAAGGATACACACAGGTTGAAATGGCATTCGGGATTAATTTCCCATATCTGTGGCTTTTCAGTTTGCAATTAGTGTCTGTGTATAAATTGTCAATGAGTTTGTTAGAATGTTAGCTCTCACGTGGATGCACTGAGCAGGCTAGATACTGAGCAATTGAGAGCAGAAAAGAATTGTCAAAAGACCTGCATAACAAGGTAATGAAACTTTATAAAGATGGTAAAGGATATAAAAAAAGATATCAAAAGCCCTGAATACTGTTCAATCAACTATTAAGAGATTGAAAATTCAGGGATCTCTTGATACCAAGACAAGGTAGACCAAGAAAGATTGTAACTGCCAGAAGACTTGTTACGGTTACAAAGAAAAACCCACAGCTAAGCTCAGGAGAAATGCAGGCTGCTCTGGAAAAAGATGGTGTGGTTGGTATTTAAGGAGCACA